AATACCCTAATATGGAGCTGATCACGCTGCCCCCCTCCTTCCCCTCTCCTCTACCCCCTGGCAGTCTCTGCTCTGTGTCTTGGTGATGGGGGGGGCTCTGTCCCCCTGGCCAAGCTGCCTTTGCATTCAGTAAATACCACCCCCCCCAAGAGAGGCACCCAAGCGGGGAGGGGGGAGTTCCTGGAGGGTGGCAGTCGGAAAGGCCAACTCTGGGCATTGCCAACTCCTTGTCTACAGATGCCCAAGCCCAGGAGAGCTTGAGGAGGGGGCTCCGAGGGGCCTTTCCATCTTTTAAGGGAGAAGCCATATTCGGAAACTGAACGGAGAGATCATGGCCCCCTCAACCATCATCCTGGCTCAGGAAGCTCTTCCAGGGGCTTATCCCAGCTTTTAGGAAGGAAGCAGATCCTGCCCCCTTTCTGCTCTGGGGGTGGGGGGGGGGAGCCAAGCCCTGGAGAGGGCTGCGCCCCACATCCTGGCCCTGAGGGGGCTTCCTAGCTAGCCTGCGAGATGCTGGACCAGGAGGACCCTGGCTGGCTCCAGAAAGCCATAATTCACTTTTATGTCAAGGGAGGAACCCAGGGGAAACCAAGCCTTTTCTGGCCCTCTGTGCGCTCTCCTCCGAGGGAAGCAGCTGATTTATGCGCACGGCATTGGAGCATTTTCTACTCTCGATTCCAGAGGACAAAGAGGAGTGCTTGGAGGGCCAGGGATGGGGGGTGGGGGCAGCCAGAACTTTTCCCTCCCCTGAAGATGCGAGTGGGCTCAAGCCACTTGCCTGGGGCAGTCCTCCCAGGCTTGCCCTCCCTCCCAACCTGCTCGGAGTACATATCCCATCATCCCCACCCCGCATTTGCTTCGGGAAGGCGTCAGTTGCACTAACTAACCCCTAATGCTAAACCTGGTGCCACGTGGAAGGGTTGCAACTCTAAGGCAGGGTTTCTCAACCTGGGTAATATGAGAGAGGTGGACTCCAACACCCAGCATCCCCAGCCAGCCGGAATCCACCCATCTGAAAGTGGCCTGGGTTGAGAAACACTCTTCCTCTACGCCAGGGATGGCAAACCTTTTCGGCCCCAAGTGAAACGGCCTGGAAAACACCCCCAAAATGGCCCACAAATGCCCCGAAAACGGCCCCAAGAACAGCCCACGAAGACCAACTGGTGAGTGCGCTCGTGCCCAGAGAAGGCTGTGTGCGCCACGCATGCCATAGTTTGGTCACCACAGCTCTAAGCCATAACGGCTGGTTCAGCCACCAGGTCAGCCTAAGGCAAAGCCTGGTCCTGCTCAGCCCACCTGGGTCTCTCTGCCTTGGGCAGAACCAGCTGCTCCCCGCAAAACACCCGCAACGCCCCCCCCTTCAGAGGCTCTTTTGATCCGGCTCCCGCAATGCTTCCAGGATGGAGAACAAGCAGGATGACGGACATCTGCCTTCTGCCAGCACAGAAACATCCCCAAGGCCCGAGAAGACTTTGGCCCTGAACCTGGGAAGTGAGGCAGGCAAATCTCTTGCGACTCCACCAGTGGGGAGAGGAACCGCCAGCCAAGCGATTCCCCCTTTCCCCTCTTTCAAAGCAGCCCAACCTGGAGCACCACAGATGGTGACAACTCGGCTCAGGAATGCCCCTCGGCCAGCCGCAAAAACGCCGAGCATTTCTGCATTCCTGAGCTTGGAAGACTGGCCGGCAACTGAGGCCGCTTAGTTTTCCTGCACCAAATATGCTGGGAATGCGCGGTCTCGTTTTCAGCATATCCCTTTTCCCTCCTCCGAAGGAGCTTAAAAGAACAGATCAACTCAGAATTTGGACCCTTCCTGAGAGCGTCTGCACCGGAGAGAAATTCCTTGTGTGTCCAGCCACACTTGGCCAATAAAGAATTCTATATTCTACTCTGCTCTGCTTACCCCGCTTGGCTTTCTTTCCTCTTCCGCTGATTCAGGGTTTGAGGCTGGAAACTCTTTGGGTCAAAGATTTGGCCTCTTCAGGGCATCAATGCTGCCATGCATAAGCAAACATGGGGCTCATGGGTGGCTCTTCTCCCTTGTCCACACCGCTTTTCTCCGCAGCTCTCTCTCTGCCCACGACATGCCGCATTTGCCTTCCTCCTAATAAAGGATCTGGGAATTGGCTTCAAAACAACCTAACCTTCAAGGGCAGCCCAAATTGGAACGCCCGGTAGTAGCCAAAAGGGGAAGCCGCTTTGACACAAATGAGCCTCTGACCAGGATCAGGGGTCACCGCTTCGCTCGGCACCATTACACAAATGAACACAAATGCAACAAGTTTCAAGGTTCTCCACGAGGGGGACTCTCTCCTCCTCCTCCTCCTGTGTAAGGTAAGCTCCTTGACCCAAGGATGCTCAACTGAACTGGGGTGCACAGCATTTTCAAAAACAGCCCCAAAGCAGACGCAACAGGCAGAATTGCTGGTGGGTTCATGACAGCAACGAAGGACTTGGTTCAAAATTTTATTTAGGGTAAATACAAAACAGCTTTGTGGGCCCGATAAAGAGCGAACATACAGTGTAACATCAAGAGAGAGAGGGAGAGAGCCATTCTGGACAGTGGCCATCTTCCTTTGGCTTTTTCTGGGGGGGGGAGCCCCTCTCCCAGAAGCCTGGGGGCCACGAAAGGAGCCTCGGCTGCATTCAGAGGTTCCAGGGCTGCAGAGCAACGCAGGGTGGGTTGATGGGAAGGCTGATGGGCAAGTCCTCCACCCCTCTTGCTTCCAAGGGGGGCATTTTCACACTCCACCATGGCTGACCAGGTCTCTTCTTCAGGAAGCCAAGGGCCGAGCCCCAAGGTGGGATTTTAGTGGACAAGAGCAGGGGGGCTTCTCAGAGAACTCAGGGAGCGTGTCCTTCCTCAAAGGCCGTTTCCCTTTTTGACTGAAGCACCAGAGATTCAACCCATCCGCAATTTAAAGCGCTTGGCTCTTTCGGTGGAGGATTCCCAACATCGACGGCATCCAGAATGTACCCCATCTGGAAATTCTCTCGCTTCCAGCCTTGCTTGGCCTGTCTTGCCTCTGGGCCCCGAGCCTCACGCCCCGTTTTCTGCACGTCTCCCTCAATGTCTCCACTGCACAAGGCCAGGGGGACGTGTAACTTTTACGAGGGGTGGGTGGGTGGGAAGTGGACGAAAGCTGGACACGAGACAGATCTGTCCTTCAAACGTTCTCGATGGAGAGAAGCTGCTTTCCCAAAACGACATGAGATTCTTTCAAAGGGTTTTCCATCCGGCGGTCTGTTTCCTGTGACCAGGTGGCATGATTGGGAGACGCCAACCATGGGGACCCTTATGAAACAAGGACATTCCTCCCTGCAGGAAGGGGGGGGGGGTCTTGCAGGGCAGAAATGGGGCGTGGCTACTTTGAGTTAGTTGGAAGCCGGACCTTCTATCCACACGGACCATAAACAGGCTGGAGGTCCACAAGCCGAGTTTACCCCAGCTTTTACCGCTTGGCATGCAGGTGCCTCCCACCCAAAAGACCCCCGGCTGAGAGTCTCCAGCTCCCAGCCTGAGCATCTCGCTCACCCGCTCGGCTAGATTTTGCCCGAGTTCCATTTAGGGCTTCCCCATGACTGGAGCTGAAGCGGCTGGTTACCAGGTGAGCGAAGATGCTTAATGAAGCTTCAAGGCATCCGGGATGGTTTGAGGAAGCTTCTCCCCCCACCCCCCCAGCAGACAAATTGCAGCCCCTGTTCTGGACACCCTTTGGGTGACTTGAGGGGGCTCAGCCAGAAGGTATGAAGGACTTGCCCTCCTTCAGCCATGTTGCTGAATAAGAAGCTCAGCTAAGATTTTATGTCACATTAAAGCAGTGGTTCCCAAATTTGGCAACTTTAAGACTTGTGGACTTCAACTCTCAGAATTCTCCAGCCAGCTCTGCTGGCTGGAGAATTCTGGGAGTTGAAGTCCACAAGTCTTAAAGTTGCCAAGTTTGGGAACCACTGCATTAAAGGAAAAATAATTGCAGCATCTTTGAAACTGCAGCCTCTCCCTCAGAGGGACAGTTTTTTGTCTCTCAAAAGCTTGAGTTGAGCGAGTGGTTCTCTCATCACCAACTGGAAAAATACAGTTCTGGCTTTATTGTTCAGGCCTTAAATATCTAGAGGTGGGTCTTTGCAATTCCTAATACCAGCCTCTGACTCCCTTAGCAAAACTTTGGGGGTGTGGGGGGGGAAAGAAACCAATATGCACGTTACTAGTCCTCAGGGGTTCCTCCAGTTTGAACTCACAACCCAAGAGCAGCTTTAATGGACACAATGCGGTGCCGTCCCAGGCCCAGGTCCACCTCCTGGGCACCTCCATGTCCGCAGCGGTGAAATATCTCGATAGGGGCCGGGTCAGACACCCCACAAAATGAAGTCTCCACGAAAACGAGAGAGGAAAACGGTTGTGTTTAATGTTGAGAAGTTGTGTTTGGCTGCTCCAGAGGAAGACGGGCGGACGGGCGTCCCTCGGGAAGCAGGAGGACTCTAACCCTGGGTGGGGGTTCAGGAGGGGCCGCTGCCCACAACGTGCTGAATGGGGGGCTTTTAGTGCAAAGGGCTACTCCGTTCGTGAAACCGTCTCCCAACACTGGCAGAGCCCCCCCCCTGCCCCCAAACTCCAAGGGGGGAGGGGGCTTTTCTCCCGGTCGAAGACGCCTCCGGCCTGCCTCCCCGCAGGAGCCCCAGGTCCTTCAGGCAGGTCGGAGAGGATAATAAATAGTTCGAGACTTCAGGATATGTTATAATACTGACTTGATCTCCCCCTTGTGAGAGGCAAGCTCTTTTTCTCCTGAGATGCAAGAAACGAAGGCCGGGGAATGGGGGTGGGGGGTCCACAGGGGTACCCTAACACTGTCCCACGGGGTGGGCTGGCCGAGAGGCTCTTCTCACACACCCCAGATTTCGGCAAGGGCTTGGCAGTGTCTCTCCACAGCAAGGCCTCTCCCCCCCGCCCCCCCCACCCCGTGCTCGGCTCACTTTCTTCCCAGCGAGGCCCCCGCGGGCGTTTAGCCCTCCTCTTCCCGCAGTTCGCTCGGGAGGAACTTGTACTGCTGCTGGCGGATCTGGGCCAGCTTCTTCCGGGCTTCCTCCAATTCCCGCTCCTTCTTCAGCATCTCCTCCTGGGCTGCGATGATCTGGGGAAGGGAGGCAAGGACGGTGCTACGGAAGTCCCAAGGGGTGGAAAAACCCGCTTAACCTCCCCGCCCGAGAAGGAGCTCGACCGTGGAGACGTGCAGGTCACGCGGTGTCTGAAAACCCTCTGAAACTGCCCTGTTGTCTCCCAGGCCCAGCTCCTGCCCAGGGCCCATCCAGGCCGCCGTTCCTCCTACGGCCTCCACCCAGAAGAAATGGGGAGGGGGCGGCGGCAGGGAAGCAGCTGCGTGGAGAGAGCAGGCTCACCTGCGCGATGCCCCCCACAAACTTGGTCTTCACCACCACGTCATCGTCATCCGCCTTCCCAAAGGCCGCCTTCTGGGCTGCCCTCACCAGGTTGTCCGACGCCCGTTTCACGGCGTTGCCCGCCACCTGTGGACGGAGAGCAGACCCAGCACGGAAAGAGTGCTACACCCAGGTGGGGCGTAATCCTAATTGTGCGCTGTGTGCATCGGCCTGTGAGGAAAGGGCCCGATTCAAGTCTGCCCCCCCCCCCCCCGTCCGTTCGCCTGCTCACCTGCAGCCTCCTCATGGCCTCCGAGTCCTGGTCAGCCTTCACTTTGCAGGCCACCAGCAGCTGAGCCGTGGAAGCGGCCACTTGCTTGGCCGAGGAGATGAGCTTCTCCTCGCTGGCGTGGCCTTGGACGGAGGCGTTGGCTGCCTCGCAGAGGTTGCTGGTTGCAGCTGCCACCATCCGGGCCTGTGGGGGGCATGCGAAGAGGGCCGGCCCCAGGTGAGCATGGAACTGGGCCGGGTCTCCCTCAGATCCGGTCATAGGAGGGCAGGCGCCCTCCCCGGAGCCTTTCCTCCACTCTTCCTGGGGGGCTTTCTTTAATCTGGAAGGAGGGGAACCACCCCCGCCCCCCCCCCCAAGAAGACCCTCAAAGCTTCACACATGGGACGGAGGTGTCAGAAGAGACTCACCGCAGAGATCAGCCCCTGGGACCACTGGCCATCATCGACGGCGTTGGCAGGAATGGCCCCCACCTGGAAGCCCAAATGGGAAAAGCCCTTCAAATGACTCCCCAAGGGGGGCTTTTGTTGGGGGAATAAAAGGGGAAGCCCTTTTGCTTCTGCTTTCAAAGCAGCCTTTCCCAAGCTGGGCTCCTTGAAGATGGGTGGGAGGCGACCGTTCCAGTGTTCCCCATTCTGGGAATTGAAGTCCACCCGTCTTCAAGGTGCCAAGTTTGAGAAGCTGCTCTAAGGAATCCATCATCCTCCAGAGAGGATCCAACGGGACACTTGGACCCTGCCCAACCGCAAGGAGAATGGCAGCCTCAAGGCCACCCCTGGCCTTCGTTTCCTCTCCCTGCTTCCCTGGGTTTGCTCCGGGTTTGGGGTCACCGATCACTTGAAGCTGCAAATTCAGGTCAGCCTCGTGCAGGAAGCCATCCGGGCCACCCTGGGGATTTTATCCTTAGAGCTGGGAAAGGTTACCCTGTAGAGATCTATGAGGCCAGGACTCCTGGGGCAGAAAAGGGCTTGGTAGGAAATAGGGAAGGCTCAGAAGAAGGTGGGGCGGACGGACAGAGAGCCTGAAGGGACTCGGGGGGCTTCCCAGGGGTGGGGGTCTCGGGCACCCACCTTGCCTTGGGCGACCAGCTCTCGCTGGGCAGCAGAAGCCGACTTGACCAGGGCGCTGGTGGCGGCAGCAATGGACTTGGCCGCTTCCAGAATCTGTTCTTCAAAGTCGAGGGTCTCGTCCGCCTGCTGCAATCAGAGAAGCAGCCCATCAGGCTGGCCCTCCCCACAAGTGACCGCCTGGCCTGGCTCTGCTGCTCTAGAACCTTCAACAACCCCCCCCCCCCCAGGTTAGATTTTGTGGCCATGCGGGTCATCCCACCCCCATGCGGAGGTCCAGCCTCTTGGAAGGGAGCAGAGCCAATAGATAAACATGAAATCAAAGGCCTGACTGCATCTCTCTCTCTCTCTCTCCCCCCTGTGCAACCTTTATTCCCGTCTGGGAGAAAAGGGGAAAAAAAACACCAGAAGAATCTGCAAAAAACCCCTCCAAAACCCCTCAGTGGAATCTGTTTATGGCCTCCTGCCGGGTCTTCTATGGAAAACAGCGCTCCTCCCGGAGACAAAGCCAGACACCGTAGGAATGTTTGATAGATAGTTGGGCTAAATTACAACCTAATATATCAAACATATCACACAGAGTCTCGCAGGGCAAAAAAGGCCCCTGGGTGGGGGGTCAAGCGGAGGAGGAGGAGGAGGAGGAGGAGGAGGGGCCTGCTCAATGGGGGAAGCCCACCCTCCAGCCCAGGCCTCCGTTGCAAGAGGGGTCTCCTGCTGCCCCCAAGAGCTTCTCGGCTGGAAGCACACGGAAGGTTTTCTAGCCCACGTGATGAGCTGCAGGCAAGGAAGGATTTGCTCCCCTCCAGATTCTCTCTCTCTCTCTCTCAAGCGACTTTGGAAGCGTCCGGAGCAACGCAGAGCACCGGCTTCCGTCTCAAGCTACCTCGGGAAAATCCGACCGAAAGAGCCTCACAGGGTGACCCCCCACGGGAGAGAACGGGAGCCCCTCGGGTGTGGCCTCTCCTTACGTGGCCGGTCTCGGTGGCATTTCCCAGGTGGCACGGGGAGGCCTGAGATGGCAGCCACAGACAACGTCCTGCTGGAGTTTCCTCTTGTGGGGGCCAGGTGCCCCCCTCCCTCAGCCAAGCCTCTTCTTCAGCCCCGGCAGACAAGTTGGCACAGACCCGGCCAGGCCCCTTCTCTTTGGGGGTCCCTGATTTCTCAACCCCATTCGGCCCTCCAAGGACGCCAACAGCGTCTCCCCAGCCCTCCAAGGGAGGGGAGCATCTGCTGGCGGGGGGGGGGTGTTCTTCCCCAGAAGAGGGTCTCCAGATTGCAGCCCCCCCCCCTGCCCTGCTCACCTTGGGCTTGGCTCTGGGCTTCAGCTGCTCCAGCTTCTTGGCAGCTGCTTCGATGGAAGCGGCAGCTCCGAGTAATTCTGTCTCGGCGATCACGGTGGGGTCCTCGGGGTTGACCCATTCGGTCCCTGGGGATGGTAAGACAGCAAGACGGGTTATCCTAGTTTGCTTCACAACTAAACTAACCACCATCTGGTTTCCTCAGCTGGTGCAGCCCTCAGGTCTTCTGCTCCGTGCTCTGGTTTACTTCACCCGTTGTGTTCCTGGCACCTCTGGAGTTCTCTGGGCTGCCACGTTCTGCCCATCGGCCTTTTGTAAGCGAAGCGTTTCACCTTGAAGAGATGCCACACCCGGCCACAAGGAGACACCGGAGAAGGTTGTGCCACAAAAGCAATGGCAGGAGACACCCTCCACTCAAACTCAACCCCTGGATGCCACCCTTTTGCTCCCAAGTCCCAACCTGGCTCCTCGGGCTTCCCAACCGAGGGGCAAGGGAGGTGGGAGGGACCACGGCAACGAGACCAGCCAAGGGAACAGCCAGATGAAAGGCAGCTTAGCCCGTGGCAGGGTGGTGGGTGGGCAAGAAGCCCTGAAGAGACCCTCCCTAGTTTCCTGGGCTGTCAAGGAGAAGGGGGAAGAACCGGAGTGCCAGTTGGAAGATCCTGTTCAGGAAACCTTCCACCCAAGTAGTAGCATTCGCTCCCCTGGTGGGTTTCCTGTCTAGGCCAACAGAAACCCGTAGCCCTGGGATTTTCTGTCGGTCTCCTTCCAAAGGCCGAAGCGGCTTTACGCTGCTCAGCTTCTAAATCTAGATAAATGTAGGCAGTTTCTAGACCTCCCTGAGGAGGAGAAGAGGACTATTCTTTGCCTCCATTTAGCTCGGCCAGGAGATCTCCAAGACCGCTGACTTCTATGCAAGGACCCCTGTTGGGGGGGGGGGTTTCCCCATGTGTCTCCCCAGCCAAGAGGGGGATAAAGGCCAGGAGGGGTCTCTGTGGGGCAGCGCCTTCCTTCCATCTCCACAGGAGGCCAACGTGGTTCCAGCCCTCCTGAGTTTCGAACGGTGCCACTGATTTGATTCTACTGTGGATAACTCAACAGGCGTCTAATTCTCGCTTCCACTTTCGTGCCGTTTTCGAAGACTGAGTGGGGAGCCCCCCTGGGACAGTCCCGCAACTGAAGAGCCCCTTCCTCAAGCGCGCAGCGTTCTTTGCGTGGCTCTCCGTCTCCCAGCGTGATTCCCGCAGGGGAGAAGACGTACCTTTCATGGCTTCGGCCGACTGTATGAGCTCCGTCACGGCCCCCGCGACCCCCTTGGACAAGGCAGTCAGAGGGTGCTTCAGCTCGGCACTGGGCTTCTGGAGGATCTGGGTGCGTTGAAGGGGAGGGGGGAGGAGGAGGAGGGGTCACAAACGGGGGTCTCCGCAGCATCTCCCTCTTTTTCCTCCAAAGTCCCCCTTCCCCTTCATCTGGCCTGGCCAAAACCGGGCATCGGGCAGCCGTCACAAAATGCCCCCTGATGCCAACGCAGAGCAGCGATCCTTGTCAGGAAGGGGCAAAGGAGGGGGGCAAAGGAGGGGCAGAGGGGGGGGCAAAGCTCTCTTTACCATCAGGACGTGTTCCAGGAGCTGCAAGTAAGCCAAGGTGCACTCCGTCCCATAATGCAGCGCCCTCAGCCGCACCTCTTCGCTGACATCCGGGTGATAGGAGGCTTGCTGTGGGGCAGAACACGGAGACCTTCAGGGGGAGCCAAAGCTCCTGGGAGAGCGGGGGGGGGGAGCCACGCGAAAAGGCGCCCGCCCAGGTTGGGTCTTGGCGCAGCCTTTGGGGCTCAGATGCATCGCCCCTCCTGCTCGGGGGGGGGAGCTTTCCCAATCCTGCATGCTCCCCAAGAAATGAGCATTCCCCTTTCAGCCCCCGCCCCCCCTTGCCCCTTCCCGAGGCATTTCTGCTCCCAGCTGCCAAGGAGCTGCATTCTGTCCCGCCGGAGATTCCTTTGCTGCAAGCAGCTTTGAGAACCGAACCCGAAATGCGTTGGGCTTCTGAGACACCAAGGGGACTGAGAAGATTAACCATGTGCCCAATTCCCCCCCCAGGGGGGAGACCCCAGACCCTCAGGCGGCAGAGATGCTCTGGGCACGTGGGCTGCAGGAGGAGACACCTCCCCCCCACCCCCGGGGACAAAGCTTGACCAGAAGTGGCAGTTCAGCCTGTGAGTTTTGACACTCTCCGTCTCTTGGCCAGGATGGGATAACAGGCCTTCCCAGGGCTGGGGATGCTTCCAAGTGGGTGGGTGGGTGGGTCTTTCACCCCCACATTCCACAAGCCCTCAAACAAAACTCCTTTGGTCCTTGGGATGCCCCCGGAATCAATTGCTGGGGCTCTGCAGCTCCAAGCAATGAGCAAGTCTCACACTTACACTCAAGTACAGACACACAGGGACGCACTTACACACACACACACACACACACACACACACACACACACACACGGAGCCTCTGAATCACTGTGCAGCCTGTTGGCTCCCGAAATAATCCTTATTTAGTTCTCAAAACCCTTCGCACATTTCTTTGCTGCCATCGCTTAAACTCCAGAAGTTGAGTCCAGTCGGGTATGGAGCAACACACACACACACACCCAGCTTCTGCCGTGCCCCGAACTGGGGGTTGGAGGGAGGCGGACTCCTCCGCCCATCCACAGCCCCAAAGAGGCCAGTCTCTGGGAACGGATCCAGCCCCTTTGAGAAGCCACCCATGCTCGTTTCAAAAGAAAACCACTCGAGGGGGGGAAGAAGGCAAACCGACCCACAAACCCTTTTCACGTGCGGATCCACCCTTTGAGAAAAGAGTTTCTGGAAGTCAGCCCAGCCGTGAGAACTGAACCAGGGAGTTTACCTTGCAGGCGGCCAGCATGTCGGCCACGGCTTTGCGGCTGAGGTTGGCCGTGGCGATCACGTCCTCTTGCCGGCAGGAATTCCCGGCTGCCACGGCTTTGGCCGTTGCCATGGTGATGCCTTTCGTCATCCGGATGGATTCTTCGGGGGAGCAGGTCTTCTCGGGAACATCCCTGGACTGGAACACCTGGAGGGAGGGAGGGGAGGGGAGGGGAGGG